ATTCCAGTATGATGGCACAGTCTTGGGAAACTTACCATATTTCTTGAATAGGTTCTACCCTTTATCCTGGGCAGTGACTTATTTTCCATTTATGTAATACTAAATGGAATGGAATTCAGAATTTAGTGACTCATGCACAAAGATTTTGACACTTACACTGGCAGCATGTGACATATTGGATCTCAGCGTTCTTTGTAGAAGAAAGAAGACGATTATGGCCTGCAGCTTTGACAAGTGGGGAAATAGAAAAAAACTGATTGCCTGGTGCTAGCACAAGGCTTGGAATTGGATACTGCCAGGATATTTCTGCCAGGGACTGCCAGTACCCAATGTTTACTGTCGTTTACATAGTAAGCAGTGACTTCACCAAGAATTTAACAAGACTCACCAGAAGCCTTTATTCGAACTGTAAAAGCTTTCAATTACCAAATGTACATATAGATTGATCCATACACTTTTTCTCTTGTATCTTCTCTCACAGAGTGGCTTCAGAACTCCTGCTGCTCTGCATGGGTCTGTTCTTCGTGCTAGGCATATGTCTGAACTTCCTTAACAAGAGACCTTTAGTAATTATTTTCTTATAATTGCTTCTGAAAGACTGTGCTAATATATCCTGATCTTATCATTCAAATGCAAGCAAGAGCTGATTAGGAACAAGGGAGCCCAGAGCGAGATGAGTCTTCTGAGTGCAGGTACAATAAACTACTATTTAATAAGAAAACTACCATTCTTAATTAAACACCTTCTCTAACTGTACTTATGACAAATCGGTGGCATAAGTCTTTACAGTAGTCCAGCAGAGAGCACTGTAATGTCATGAGGGATGCTATTTCTGGAATGTATTTAGCACAGGATTTTGTCTTCCTATAGCCATAATCTCTTTTGATGGGGTCTCATTTTGAGGCTTGGGCAACAAAAGGGAAAAATAAAGGGTAGATCATTGTCTTTTGGGAGACATCCTAGTGAGTTGCTTTCTGATTCTAAAGTGCTCAAGCTCTCTTTGCTTTAACATGTTGGTAATAAAATCCCGTTTACAAACTCTGACATTGAGTTTTCTCTTTTTTTAATTTTTTTTATTTTTAAGGATCTCCAATTGCATCTCTTACTGCATTCTGTCCTTCTGGCTGAACTGGTGACACCAACGTTGGTGTCCTCTAAATCTTCTCCCATTTGAGTGTTTGAGTACCCTTCCAAACTGATGCCCATGCACTGAATTCTCTTCTCAGGCTAATTTGCCGAGCCACTTCCTTCCCTGTACTCAAGTCCCTCCAGGAACTCACTTCCTCTGTGATACCCACAAGCGAGTAAACAGTACTGCAGAAATCTAGACTGTTGCCCTCTCCCAGCTTCCCAGTGCATCCTGTCCCTTATTTCAAGGGCTGACATTCATATTTGTGTCATGCTGAGCACCAATCAAAATGCCAGTGCTTAATTAATAATAGAACTCTGGCTTTTTTAGTTAAATTAATCTCTCTTTTTAATCAACTTTTGTCTGATACTATCTTTATCTGCAGCTTTTCTTTCTAAATGTGTTTCACTGTTATTGTCTTTTCTATCTGATTTCTTTAATCACTTTATTTCTTTCTCATATTGATCTTTAGGCTAGTAACATAAAACATTTGAGGTTTTGAGAACTGTGCCTTACAGTAAAAAGCTAGAGAAGCACAATCTGGTTAGCTTTTTCAAAAGAAGGTTCAGAGGTGACTTGATTAAGAGCTACAAGTATATCTGCACAAGAAGGTATCTGATAATACAAGGCTCTTTAATCTAGCGGACAAAGGTGTAGTAAAATCCAGTGACTGGAACTAGAAAAAATCAGAACTAGATAAGGCCCCACCTTCTCCTTTGAAAATGGAAGGGTCCCCGCCATTTTAGTCTTTCCTGGTATGACAGCTGCTCCAGGCTCCTCATTTAGATTGACCTTCTCTGTATCTTTTCTAATTCTATGAAACCTTTTTGAGATGTGGGGACCAAAACTGCATGCAGTATTCAAGATGTGGGCGCACCATGGATTTGTGTAATGACATAATGATGTTTTCCATTTTGTTTTCAATTCCCTTCTAAATGATGCCCAACATTTTATTGACTTTTTTGGTCGTCGCTTAACACTGAGATGATGTTTTTAAAGAACTGACAACAGTGGTCACGCTCCCAGCGCTATCACCACTGCTGCCTGGCCTGAGCTCAACCTGGCCCAACGTCCCCACTGGGAAGAGCCTGGCGCCACCCTGGTCCCAGTGCGCTCCACCTCGCGTACAGATCCGGGGTCACATGCCCCCACGCTCTCCTGGGCTGCATGTCTCCCCCCTCCCTGTGCCCCCCCAAACGAGCTGCTCATGGCTCCATCCCATGCCCCATCCCAGCTGTGCAGGGCCTGCCCCTGCCCCAGACCCACTCCCTTCCTCACTGCCATGGGGCGGGGGCAGATCAAGGTCCCAGCAGTGAGGGAGGGAGCGAGGCACAGGCAGGAGCAGGGACCAGGGGCGGGGATGACAAGCGGAGGCCTGGGAGGCATGTGCCTCCCTGGGCCTCTGCTTGTCCCACCACCTGGCCTGTCTGGGGCCCCACTATCCCCAACCCCTGCTCCTGCCTGTGCCCAGCTCCCTCCCTCACCACTGGGGCCTCAGTCTGCCCCCATCCCCCGCCACAGCCCTTTCCCCTCCCCCTTCCCCTTCCCCCACAGACTTACCTGCTGGAGGGGCACGCCCCCAAATAATTTTTTCTTCCTCTGCTTTGATCCCACCCCCCTCCCCCCAATTGACCTGCTGGGCGGAGGGGGAGGGTGGTGCATGGTAGATCTTGGGTTGCTTTTTAATGAAAAAGTGATCTCTTACTTAAAAAGGTTGGAGACCACTGGTCTACAATGACTGACGTTTCTTTCGTGAGTCATATAACAAGTAGTTCAGAACCCAGTATTGTGTATGTATATTGAGGTTATTTTTCCCCAGGTGCAATACCTTGCACTTGTTGACATTGAAGTTCATCTACCATATTTTTTTTTGCCCGCTCACTTAGCTGGGCAAGATCTTTCTGCAGCTCTTCTCCTTCAGCTTGGGACTTAACTACCTGGAATAATTTGGTATAATTTGCAAACCTGGAGATTTCACTATGCACCCCTATTTCCAGGTCATTGAGAAAAATGTTGAAAAAATAGGGTCCAGCACAGATCCTTGCAGGACCCTACTTCTGACCAGCCTTCATCCTTAAAAGTGACCATTTAGCCCTACCTGTTGCTTCCTATCTTTTAACCAGATCTCAGTCCATGAAAGAACCTTTCCTCCAATCCTGGGGTACCATAGGTTTTTGGAAAGCCTATGGTGAGGAACCTTGTCGAATGCTTTTTGAAAGTTCAAATATATGATGTCAACTGGATCCCCTTTGTCTACATACTTGTTGACACCCTTAAAAAACTCTAGCGATCAGTGAGGCAGGATTTCCCTTTACAAAAACCATGTTGACTCTTCCCCAACATATCATATTTGTCCATGTGACTGCTGATTCTATTCTTTATTATAATTTCTATCAACTTGCCAGGGATGGAATTGAAAGCAACTGGTCTGTAATTCCCAGGATCATCTCTGGAACCCTTTTTGAAGATGGGAATTATGTTGGCAACCCACCAATCCTCTAGCATAAGGCTGTTTATAATGATAGGTTACATATTATTGCCAGCAATTCTGCGATTTCACCTTTAAGTTCTTTCAGAACTCTGGGGTAAATGCCAGCTGGTCCTGGTGACTTGTTAGTATTCAGCTAATTGATTTGTTCCAAAACTTCTGTTGTTACTTCAGTGTGGTCCAACTCTTCAGATCCATCTCCTAGAAAGAACTGATCTGGCATGGGAATTTCCCCAGTATCTTTTGTGGTAAACACTGATGCAAAGAAATCATAGCTTCTCTGCTATGGCATTATTATCCCTGAGCGCACCTTTTACACTCTGGTCATCTAATGGTCCCACTGGTTCTCTAGCTGGCTTTCTGTTTCTGATGTATGTAAAGAAGTCATCTTTTGCTAAACTCTTCTCAAATTCCTTTTGGGCCTGCCTTATTTTGCTTTTACACTTGACTTGACAGAATTTGTAAGCTTTCCTCTTTTCCTCATTTGGGTACACTTTACATTTTATGAAGGATGCCTTTTGCCTTGAATGATCTCCTTAACTCTGCTATTGAACCATGCAGGGGTTTTATTGGGCCACTTTTTGATTTGTGGTATAAACTTTTCCTGAATCTTTAATATGGTATTTTTAAACAGCTTCCAGTTTGCCTGCAGGCTTTTTACTTTTATGAATGCTTATTTAAACTTTTGACTAACTTCTTAATTTTTTATGTCATTTCCCTTCCTAAAGTTGTATATGAGTGTGGTGGACATTTTTGTCTTACTCCCTCCCACGCAAGTGCTGAATGGGATTATGTTATGGTCACTATTACAGAGTGGCTCACCAACAGATACCCCTTGAACCAAGTCCTGTGTTATTCAGGATTAGGCCTAGAACTGCTTCTCTTCTTGTGGGTTCCAAGATGAGTTGTTCTACAAAGCAGTCGTTTATCGCATCCAGAAAGTTTATTTCCAAGTCTCACCCAGATGAGGTGTTTACCCAATCTGTGAGAGGATAGTTGAAGTCTTCCATTATTATCGCTTGTCCCACTTTAGCATCTTCTTTAATTTCCCTGAGCATTTCATAATCATCTTCACCTTCCTGTGCAGGTGGTCAAAGTACAATCCTAGCACTATATTATTTTTATTCAAGTATGGAATTACTACCCACAGGGATTCTATGGCAGTTTTCCTTTCAGGTATTTTTTTTTTATGTTGCTACTATTTATACTATCCTTAACATACTGTGCCACTCTTCCACCAGCATCCTACTCTGTTGTTCCTATATAGTATGTAATATGTTAGAACAGCACCCCATTGATTATTGTCCTTCCACCAAGTCTCTGAGATTCCTTTTATGATAAAGTCACCATTT